GAAGAGCNTTGCTGTGAACTAGGCTGACGCCACGGCTCTCACTCTAGCCCAGGCAACAAGAGTGAGACTCTGTCTCAGAAAAAAAAACAAAAAACTTTAAAAAAATATCTGATGGGGGACGGGGAAATATGAATTTTTGTTTGAGCGATTGTGAACCTCACATCCCGCGGAATTCTAGTCCGCAGGGTCGGCCCTGTGACCGGGCATGTCCGGGGAGCCGTGTGTCTCCATCCCCCTCCTGGGGGTGCAGGTTGTCTCGGGAGACCCCCAGGGGCTCTGAGAAGTCCCCCCGGAAGGACCCCCGTTTGCTCCAGTGTCACTGCCCCTCCCCCCCCCCACGCCGGCCTGGCCGCCGCCCCGCCCTCCCGGGCCTGGGGGTCAGCAGACCCACGTGGGAGAGCGCGCGGTGCCCGGCGCCGCCTGGGTGGGGGACGGGAAGGCACAGGTGTCTCCTCTCCGCAGGTGGCCTCCATGAACCAGCGCCGCGTGGATTTCTACCTCGCCTCCATCGAAGACATGCTGGTGGCCGTCGGGGGCCGGAACGAGAACGGAGCGCTGTCGTCGGTAGAGACGTACAGTCCCAAGACGGACTCCTGGTCCTATGTGGCCGGCCTGCCCAGGTGACCGGGGTGGGCTCCGTGGCAGGCTGTTCTGAGGGGGGGGCGTTGTTTTCCGGGGGACGGAGTTCACTTGCGTCCGCTGCGCTCCCTGGGCATCTCGGCCTCCCAGCCCAGGGAAAAGGTCTCCTGGCTCATCGGCCCGAGGGTCGTTAGGAGAGGCTGGGGGGGCCGTGGCGGTGAAGAGCCACCTCTGGCTTCAGACCGAATGCAAGAGCCGCCTCTGCCACCAAGCTGCACCCACAGCTGCCCAGTCTGTCCCGTTCCCTGGCGCCGGAGGGTGCATGCCGGGAGCAGATGGGGCGGTTGACCCCAGGGTCTCCCCGAGTTTGGGGACCGACGCCCAAAGTGGTGGGGCGTGTCTGTCCCAGACCTAAGACACAGAGAGAGTGTCTGCAGCCCGCACATGCTTGACTTCCCCGTCTGTAGCGCGGGGTGGTAGGAACCGCTGCCCCAGAGCACTTGCGGGAAGCCCTGGCATGGCTCTGTGCACAGAGGGCGTGCTCCGGGCTCAGTGGCTCTTGCTCTCCCCGGTCCTCCCGTCCTCCCGGTGTGCATTGATTGAGCGTCTGTTGCCGCCACGGGGGTAGCGGGAGGTGCGCGCCATTTATCTGACGGGCTCCCTGTTGCTGCCCCCGAAAGCACGCTTCCTGAACCGCTCGTGCTGCGAGACACATGCAGGAGTCTTGAGGACTTTGTCCCCAAGAGTTAGAAGAGTGTACGGGGTAAGCGCCCGTGTTTTGAAGTCGTGGTCGAGGCGAGAATCCCAGCTCCTCCGATTCCCGGATGACTACCGTGTTTCCCCGAAAATAAGACGGGGTATTACGTTTCTTTTTCCTCAAGAAGACACCCCAGGGCTTATTCTCAGGGAATGCGTTATTTTTTTTAAGTGCAGTACAACCATCTACACTTATTCAAATACAGTTTTAATTGTCGTGGTTCTGGAACATCATCATCACTTTCCAAACCCGAATTCCATCCTGAGTTTCTTGCGACTCTGTTTCCTTTAGAACCATCAGCCCCAGTCTGTCTTGTCGAGCCATAGAGTTCTCACGGGGCGGATGAGGAGGGTGGCTCGTCTCCTTTCCCGCTCCACGACGACAATGCACGGGTCGTGCAGATGTGCTGCGTAGCCCACACCGTCACTAGGTCTCATTTTTCGGGGTGGGGCTTCTATTGCGGCACATGCTAGAAATCCTGCCAGGGCTTATCTTATGGTAGGGGCTTATTTTCGGGGAAACACGGTACCTTCCCAGAGAGGTTCAAGGAGGCCAGTGGATTAATGCCATGACACCTGTTATTAGACGATTTGACGGTCTTCATAGTAGCTGCTGATTGCTGTGTGACCCTGGCCAGGTGCTTTATGTAATGTCCCTTGATACCACAGTCACCTGCTGGGCAGGCGTGGCTCTCTGTAACTTACCCTCTGACCAGGAGGCCAGTGGGTGGCGGGCAGTGGTGTGGATTCTGGCCACGTCCCAGGCTACCAGGCCCGTGATCTCCTACACCCAGGTGCTCTGTCATCCCATTTCATAGATGGGCAAGTGAAGCTTCATGACACAGTGCCAAGAACGTCCGTGTCGTCCCTTTCTCTGGGCCAGCCCCTGTGATCGATGTGCCTTAAACACCACAACAACCGTGCTATTATATTGTCTTTCTAAAAAGGGTTGTAGGAGGCCATGCGTGGTGGCTCACGCCTGAATCCTAGCAACTCTGGAGGCCAAGCTGGGGGGGGTCGCTCAAGGTCAGGAGTTTGAAACCAGCCTGAGCAAGAGCGAGACCCCTGTCTCTACTAAAGATAGACAGAAATTAATTGGCCAATTAATATATATTTATAGAAAATCAGCCAGGCATGGTGGCGCATGCCTGTAGTCCCAGCTACTCGGGAGGCTGAGGCAGGAGGATCGCTTGAGCCCAGGAGTCTGAGGTTGCTATGAGCTAGGCTGACGCCACGGCACTCTCGCTCGGGCAACAGGGTGGAGACTCTGTCTCCAAACAAATAATCATAATAAAATAAAGCATTGTAGGAGTTGGAACACACACACAATCCATGATGCTGTCGTCTTGAGTGCATGCATGTCCCACGTTTGTTTGATTCGCTTACTCGTATCTTTTTTCATTTATTGGCTTGTTTGTACGTTGGGGCCTCCATGAACCCACGGCCCAGCCCCGGAGCCCGGACATTGAAGGGTCGCTCTGTCCGCCCTGGGAGTGTGCTTCTGTGATGGCAGCTTCAAATGCTTTGCCCTCCTGTCCCCTGCCTCCCAGCTAAGCAACCACTACCCTGAATTTCATGACAGTGTTCCATTGGCTTTTTTTAAACCCTTGTTTGCACTCCGCCCCCCTCTTTCAATAGACGTCAGTTTTTACAGCAGTTTTGGGTTTGCAAAAAATGGAGCGGGAAGTACAGAGAGTTCCTGTTACTAACTTGCGTTGCGTCTGTGTCCTACAAGTGTCGCTGCAGTTTGTCACAAGTGATGAACCAGTAGTGATACATTATTATTTTGTTTTGAGACAGAGTCTCCCTCTGTTGCTTGGGCTAGAGTGCCCTGGCGTCAGCCTCACTCACAGCAACCTCAGACTCCTGGGCTCAAGCAATCCTCCTGCCTCAGCCTCCCGAGTAGCTGGGACTACAGGCATGTGCTACCATGCCCAGCTAAGTTTTTCTATATATTTTTAGTTGGCCAATTAACTTCTTTCTATTTTCGGTAGAGACAGGGGTCTTGCTCTTGCTCAGGCTGGCTTCGAACTCCTGACCTTGAGCGATAAGCCCGCCTCAGCCTCCCAGAGAGCTAGGATGACAGGCGTGAGCCACCACGCCCGACCGATAACATTATTATTTACTAAAGTCCCTGGTTTACATCAGGGTTCACGCTGTTGCATGGTTCTGTGGGTTTTGGCAAATGCATAATGACACGTGTCCACCATTACAGTGTCCTACAGAATAGTTTTGGGGCCCTAAAAAAATCCCTCTTGCTGTCCCTTGTTCACCTCACATCCTCTGCCCGCCAGCCCCTGGCATCCACTGATTTATTTTTGCTGTCTGTGTAGTTTTCCTTTTCCCAGAACATTGTCACAGTTAGCATTGCATCGTATGTTCTGTTTTCTCTCTGATCTGTAATTGGATCGGTCCCACGTGCATGCCTAAGCAGCATATCGTTCTAGTTGTGTTCAGCCGTTGTGGGAAGGGTGACGGCCCTGTGATTATACCCATTTCCCAGATGGGACAGTGGAGATTGAGAGAAGGCCAGAGCTGGGGTTCTAGCCCAGGTGGCCTGACTGCAAAGCTGCCCCCCTGTACCTGCCTGGCCACTTCCTGTCTGATGACAGCTGCCATTCCCCCCAAAGTGTTGGTGGGGGGTGGGGCGCCTGCTGCCTGTGTCACCTCCTCACATCCCCCCAGGAGGGCAGACTGCACCCGTCTTGCAGGAGGAGGCAGCTGAGGCCCAGGCTGAGCCCCGCCCCGCCCCGCCCGTCGTTCTCTCCGCAGGTTCACGTACGGCCACGCGGGCACCATCTACAAGGACTTCGTGTACATCTCGGGGGGCCACGACTACCAGATCGGCCCGTACCGCAAGAACCTGCTGTGCTACGACCACCGCACGGATGTGTGGGAGGAGCGGCGGCCCATGACCACGGCGCGCGGCTGGCACAGCATGTGCAGCCTGGGCGACAGCATCTACTCCATCGGGGGCAGCGACGACAACGTGGAGTCCATGGAGCGCTTCGACGTGCTGGGCGTGGAGGCCTACAGCCCGCAGTGCAACCAGTGGACCCGCGTGGCGCCGCTGCTGCACGCCAACAGCGAGTCGGGCGTGGCCGTGTGGCAGGGCCGCATCTACATCCTGGGCGGCTACAGCTGGGAGAGCACCGCCTTCTCCAAGACCGTGCAGGTGTACGACCGCGAGGCCAACAAGTGGAGCAGGGGCGTCGACCTGCCCAAGGCCATCGCCGGCGTGTCGGCCTGCGTCTGCGCCCTGAAGCCGCAGCTGGAGGACAAGAAGAAGAAGGGCAAGGGCAAGCGGCACCAGGACCGGGGCCAGTGACCTTGGGGTCACCGCCAGGCCGGCAGCCCCTGCTCACGCCCCCGGGCGACATCATGTACTACTTAGCAGCCTTCTTTTTTTTTTTTTTTTTTTTTTTAACTTTTATGATTCCTGGTATTTCTATGATATCACAGTGACCGATTAAACATGACGTGGAACTTTGCATATCTTGCCTGAGTAATTAAAACCCCGGGCCCAGGCAGTGAAGAACGTCACCCGTGCGGGTCTCTGTCCTCCCTGGGCCTGTCCCCCCCAGGCGGTCGCTGGCAGCACCACGGGCGACGTGAAGACGTGTGCAGCGATAAACAGAGCCTCGACGCCCGGTGCAAGCTGCCCCAGACCCGGCGGAGCTTTTAAAAATAACAGGTTCCCCGGGAGCCGACGGTGCAAGCCAGTTCTTGGGGTCCGGAGGCGCAGCGCGTCTGGGAGCCGCTGGCCGAGGTCAGGTGTGTTTTATAAGTGAGGGCGCGAGCGCGCTGTCCCCCAAGAGGGTAGTGAGTGGCCGGGTCACGGCCGGCTCCCTGGCAGGTGAGACGCGGGGGACTCCCTCCCTGCCCAGGACGCTGTTCCCAGGGTCCTTGTCAGGTGAACGTCGATTCCGAATGACCCCAGTGTTCCCGGGTCGGTGATCTTCCCGAATTCTAATAAAGGTCATAGGTAGCCAAGAAGAAAGAAAAAAGGCATGAAGCTCTTTATAAATGTTATTCTGTAATTTGTGCTTTTTTGTTTACCCTCTTTGTTGTTCTTTTTTTTTTTTTTCCTGAACACGCTGTCTCTTATAGCGCTGATGTACCTACCGAGCTCCCAAATGTATGTCCCTTTTCAAGGAAGGACAAGTGAACACTGCGGAATTTGCTGTTGTTTTCCACGAGCCTTTCTCTGAGATGCCGTTGAAGGCTCCTGCTCAGATGAGCGCCTGTTGGTCCCTAAGAAGGTCGCTGGCCGTCTCCCCGACTCCAGCAGTGGGTCCTGGTCCCAGTCATATGCTACTAGGTAGCTGCGTGCCACCAAGGCACATTCTTCAGCAAGTCCCGATCTGTTCCCTCCGCTCCTTGGGCGGCAGGGGTAGAGTGAGGGGAGAGAATGTCTGGGCTCCCGTCAGGGCAGAGGGGCTTTCTAGATAAGCGTGCTGGGCGCCCCCTTTCCAGATGGGTAACCGCCCCGTACCGACTCCTCGCGCAAGTTCCTAGAACGGCTGTCGCTATTGCATGACCTTAGCTGTCGCGCGGCTGCCCACGCCCGGGTGCAACGCAGAGTCCCCTGGGAGGGTAGGACTGGGATCAGTTTCAGTCTCGAGCCAGGGAAAGCATGAACGATCTGGACCTCGGCAAAGATCTGATTGCAGAGGCGAGAAGACGGCAAGATGTCTTGTTGACGTGGATGTTAGAATGAGACAATCTCGGTGAGCACCGATTCCCGTTTCTTTTGCGTGTTTGCTGCACTTCCTTGCCATGTCTTTTCAAGGCTGGCTGTGGTTTTCATGGGTCTGTGTTTGCAGTTATCCAGGAGAGATGAGGAGCGGTCTTGGGGTTGAAAGCTTCAACGCCCTAGTTCCCACCCTCTTTCTACTGCTGGTTAGGTGCGCAGTCTACCTGTTTAGCTAGTTACTTGCATGTGCAAGCCTCTAGAGGCCAGCAAAATGTTGAGAGGTTCTGCAAAGCATACAAACAAACCAAAAAGCTGTAAACTCTCCTTGGAGCCCTATAACAACACTCCAGCGTGTTAAAGGCTCTGGGAAGTCCTGCATTCATTGTAAGCCTTCCATCAACCTGGTAGTTCCAAACTTCTTGGAGCCTGAAACTCTTTTTTTTGTCTCATTGTCTAGTCCAAGGGTCCTCAAACTTTTTAAACCAGGGCAGTCTCAACTGGTCCTCAGACCACTAGAGGGCGGACTATGTTTAAAAAAAAAAAAAAAAACTATGAACAAATTCCTACGCATACTGCACATATCTTATTTTGAAGCCAAAAAACAAACGGGCAAAAACACCCACATGTGGCCTGTGGCCCGTGGGCTGTAGTTTGAGGACGCCTGGTTCTAGTCCCAGAACTCCACAAAACAAGTTTTTTTTGTTTGTTTGTTTTTGGTTTTTTTTGAGACAGAGTCTCGCTTTCTTGCCTAGGCTAGAGTGAGTGCCGTGGTGTCCAGCCTAGGTCACAGAACCTCAAACTCCTGGCTCAAGCGATCCTCCTGCCCAGCCCGAGTAGCTGGGACTACAGGCACGAGCCACCATGCCCGGCTGATTTTTATATTATATATATTAGTTGGCCAATTAATTTCTTTCTATTTTTATGGTAGAGACGGGGTCTCGCTCAGGCTGGTTTTGAACTCCTGACCTTGAGCATCCGCCCGCCTCGGCCTCCCAGAGTGCTAGGATTACAGGCGTGAGCCACCGCGCCCGGCCACACAAAACAAGTTTTGCAGAACCTCTGGACACTTTGGGATTGCTCACCCTCATCTTCCTCCGGGAAAGGTTTTATTACTTGAAGACCCTTCAGACAGCACAGTGTGGTGTGGCGTTTGTGGGCTGCCTCCCCCGCTCAGCCCAGGTCATGGACAAACAGGTGGTTCTTCAGCCAGCATCTAGGGGCAGGCCGGGGAGAACAGATAAAGTCTGGGTGATTTGAGGAACAGGATGGCTTTGACCTTGGAGAGGAGGGAGCCACTGATTCTTAGCCTAAGCCAGCTCTTGCCACGTCCTGCTCCTGGGACTTGCCCTAGATACGTGTGAAGCGCCGGCCTCTATTCTGATTTCTTGTACCTGGTGCTACATACGGCGGGGTCCTGCGCCTTGTATTTTGTGATCTCTCCTGACGCTATTCATTTGCAGTCTTTGATTTACACGGCTTCGGATCTAATATTAACGCTCCTTTAAAGGGAAGATGGACGGGTGAGTTCTGTCTCGTGGACCAGCTCCCAATAGTCGGTGGTGGCCACGCGGAAAGGTTTTCGGGCTTGCTGGAGTCCACGGGCGGGCCCAGGGAGCCACGGGTGGCCCTGGCCAGGTTTTCGTTACCCGTGTTTTCAAGTTGGAAACTCACTCTGACGTGCAGGCCAGCTAAAGATGGAAGAAAGTGGCTTTGAATCTCGGCGTGGGGGCGGCTCGGGCGCAGTCTGGCGGGTGGCTGTGCTGACTGCACGTGGTTTCGCCCGTGCAGCGAGAAAGCTCGAGTTCGGTCGTCCAGATGCAAACGGCCGCTTTGCCTTTGGGTTGTTGAAACTGTCAGAGCTCCAAGCTGTTCCCTTGAACTTCGACAACACCTGGATTTTTTTGTGTGTTGTTTGTTGTGTTAATCTTTCAAAATAGACGTATGGCAGGCTTTTATGTAGGTTTGGATTTTTTCTGATTTTTTAAAGAATGAAAAGACTTTAAACTTCCTAGTAGTTGTAGGTTTGGGGTTAGGTCCCCCTGGCCCAAGTTGGAACCCTGTTTGCTGAAAGACGTAAGCTTGACGGCAGCAGGGAGGGAGGGTAGAAAGCTGAACGACCTTGTCACTTGTACGGGTCCTTCTGCTGTTGAGAATATCCACGGATTTTCTTTTCAACCTGCGTGTACTTGGCACTCAGCTGGTATTTTCAACATTCTGCCATTTTGGGAAGGCTACCAGGTAGGACTTCTGAGAGACCCTGATCTGAGCAGGGCCGCGTGTGAATTCTGGATGTCCCTCCCCGCACACCCTGCATGGCAAGGTGACCACATGGTGACTTAGTAGAGACCCCCGAAGCTAACCTTACTAACTGGGAGTTTAGTTTTGGGGGTGGGAACCCAAACGCCGAGGGGAATTGGGGTCCTCTTCTGGGGTCCGGGGTCCTACTCTGTGAGTTTGGATACAGAGTACTTTGTCCCCTAAGCCAAGAGTGACCTTTCAGTGATGTGTAGCAGTGTGGGACGCGAAGGGACCCCTGCGGGCCCTCCCCCGGGCCCTGGCAGCGTTACCGACCGCCGCGCTTTCCCCCGGGCCTCCGTGGTGCGGCAGCGCCCACGGGCCCTGCGGCTCCCCAAGCTAGCGGGTAGGCTCGCGGCCCACTGGTGTCCCCATCCTGGACGGGCGGCCGCAGCTGAGGTTGGGGCCTGCTGGCGTCCCCGTGGATTCCGAGTGTCCCCGGAGGGAGGAAGGAGTGGGGGTGTCGCCCCGGCCGCCGGGATAAACCCTGGAGCGCCTCACCTGTGCATCTGCCAAGCCCGGCAGTTTTTAGAGTTTTTTGAAATGTTTTGATACTTTTTGATACAATTTGCTAATAGCCGTTTTGTAGGATGCCTGCCCGGGTTTCCACCTGACCCCCCGCCCTGCCTCCAGCCCCCTGATGTGAGCCGGACGGCCAGTGTCCTGCGGGCAGCGCCGGGGCCCCCTCACCTGGCTTTCTGTCTCGGATCTTGCCCCTGTCCTCGGATCTTGTCCCTGTCCGCGGCCGATCTGACAGAGCTCTGGAAGGGCGCGAGGTCACTCTCGGCCCGTGGGCGCGACTGTCTTAGGCCCCTGGTTGATTTGCCAAGGGGACGCCTTCGCAGCCCCCCGAGAGGCTCAGCACCTCTCCCCAAGCTCCTACCTCAGCGGCGTGCCCAGAGCTGGGGCGCCCGAGGGCTGGCCCACGGCTCCCCTTTCCCTCACGGGCCATTTCTCCTCCGCGGGCACGGCTGGGGCCCGGGCCCTGGTCCACGCCCATCCGGTCTGTCTTTCTTTTTTTTTTTTTTTTTTATTTCGGCATATTATGGGGGTGCAGATTTTAAGGTTTCAATAAATGCCCTTTCGTTCTTTCTTTTAAATAGATCTTAACACAGAACCCGTAAAAGCTGAGACCGCAATCCATTCTTGCACTTTATAGAGTCGTTGTCTATAGAGGTGGTTCATTTCTTCTTCTTCTTTTTTTTTTAACATGAACAGAATTTGTGGCTTCTGAGAGTGTTTGGGGGTCCCGAGAAATTGTCCATTGGTTGCCTTAGTTAAAAAGAGTGGAATGAATGTACAAATCTCAGTGGTGGAGGGCACAGGGAACAAACCCTTCTTGTCTGTTTTATTTGAGAAAAGAGACTCCACCTTTTCAAAGCTGCTCGAAGTCGTCTGTACAGGTAAAGAAGAGTAAACGTCCTTTGGATCAGACGAGGGCGGCCCCCTTTCAAAATCAGTGAGATATTTGACGATTGAGTATTTCGTTTGGTACGTTCTGG